GTTGTTATATTTAGACTAAAGGGATCAGTTCTGTCTTCCAAATTGTACTTAGAGATGGATCTAGGACTACCCTTGAAAATTAAATAAAAAATAACTAATTATAAATTTTTAATAGAAGAGTTGGAACTCAAGGTAATTGTCCATAAGATAAAACCAAGATAAGGAGAAAAAAGGCAAAAGGCAAAAACAGGTCAAGAAGACCAAACTATAATCCCCAATATTAAATTAAAAGTAATCACAGAAAGAGACAGGGAAAAACATGCAGAAAATTTTTTAAAAGAAATGAAAAGTGTCTAAATTTAAAACAAAAGGTTTGCTTAATTTAAGGCTTTTACTTTGGGAGTCGGGGTGGGCTGGAGAGATGGCTCAATGGTTCAAAGCACTTGCTGCTCCTGCAGAGGACCTGAGTTCAGTTCCCAGCATCCACATCAAGTAACTCAGAGCCACCTGTAACTCCAGCTCCAGGGAATCCAATGCCCTCTTCTGACCTCTATGTGCATCTGCACACACACATGCAGACACACATACATGCAGACACACACACATGCAGACACACACACACAAATTTAATTTTTTTTCTTTCAAGAAGTTGTCCTTTGGGGAGCTCAGAATTATAAGAAATGCTTCACAGGTAATTGTTGCTTTGAAATAAAAGGTCAGCTGGATCCTCCCACTGCAGGACATCCCAGCTGGGGTTCCTCTGGAGCAGCAAGTACAGGAATACCCAATAGGAGTTTAAACATTTGTCCCATGTCTCCCTATGTTTTGTTCATAACTCCATATCAGTATTTCAGTGCCACATTTTAGGATGCCTTTTGAAGCTCTCTACTTGCATTTCATAGAAGAAGAAAAAAAGAAAAACACATACACATACTTTCTTGTATTGTTTATATTTCATTGGGTCATGAAATATTGAGCTGAATTAAGTAGTTAGCCTACCCAGAATAGTTGGCACAGCCAGGGCCCTAAACAAACATCTCTCTATCTTGGTCAGCTTCTGACTTGGCCAGTAGGATCTGAAGGGACTTGGGTGCACTGGAGAGCAGCCTGCCATCCTCTGGCCATTCTCTGGTCCAGAGCATCAAAAAGTGGAAGGGGTGAAGGATTTTCTATGCAGTTTCATGGATGAACATCAAAAGAGCATTCACTGTAAACCAAGAGGGGGTCCTTGGCAGAAGTGGGTCTCTGCCCCACCCCCAGGCCTCTTGAGTTCCCTCACAGTCAAAGGCATACACAGGCGAGCCAGCTGGCCTGGGTTAGTGTCAGTCCTTGGTTTTAAACTAGGTCGAGGCTCACTAGCCCAGCAGGGACCAGCCACCTTGGTCTCATTAAAACCAGGGTTCACCAAGCTCAACTGTACCTTCCTGGCCATGCATTCTGAGTGCATGCTGAATCTGCCAGGCCCACAGACCCAGAACCCTTGTATGTCAGAGGCCCACTGAGCTCCACCTTTCCAGCAGCTTGGGAAGTGAGTCTTGAGCCACGCTTCCATGTCTGCCCCCTCCCTCCCCTCACCTTTCCAACTACTCTCAGGCTTTGGAGAAGCCACACAGATTTGCAGAGAGGGCATAAGCTGTTCAGTTGACTGTGGATGGCCCGTGCCACAGTATGAATCGTGTTTTAAAGCAGCAAGACAGTGGATTGTGGAGTCCTGCTGGCACCCTGTTTTAGTTGCTTTCAAGTTGTGTTGAGCTCAGCTCACTGTTGCAGAAGGTTACGGCACAGGGTGGAGCAGGCCTGGCAAGACCCGAGATTAAGCCCATTCACATCTTGATGGATCAGAAAGTAGAGGCTAAGGCAGGGACCAGGGTCTGGCTACAGCTTTCAAAGGCCATCTCTTGTGATATGCTCACACCAGCCAGCCCCACCTCCTCAAGGTTCCTCAGCCTCCCCAGATTCCAGCACTGGCCAGCAAACAGTGTGAACCTGTGGGGGACATTTGAGATTTGTGCCATAACACATGGTGATCACCTATGAAGTAGAATTAAGTTGGCATTCACATTAGGACAAATCTTGTAACCCTGTTGGCATACTCGTGGAACTATGTAATGACCAACTGGACAGAAATGAAGGAAGTTGTCATCCTTCCTGCAGGGCCCATGGGAGGTTGAGAAAACACCACAGAAAGTTGTAACATGCATTCTTCCCACCAGCTGCCTGGGTCCCGTTGCCGAGTTAGCCCCCAAATAACACACAAGACACTATATCAATTATGAACCTGTTGGCCATTTGCTTGGTTTCTTTTTTTTAAAGATTTTTTTAAAGATTTATTTATTTATTTATTATAAATATAACATTCTGCCTCCATTTATGTCTGCACACCAGAAGAGGGCGCCAGACCTCATGGATGATTTGTGAGCCACCATGTGGTTGCTGGGAATTGAACTCAGGACCTCTAGAAGAGCAGTCTGTGCTCTTAACCTCTGAGCCATCTCTCCAGCCCCCATTTGCTTGGTTTCTTATTGACTATCTCTGACTTAATTATTGACCCACAATTACTAATATATATTTTTATATAGACTTATCTTTCTGAGGACACCATCCTGATGTGCCTCTCTTCCCCGGGATCACATGGCAATGCTCCACTATTGACTACATTTCCCAGAATTCTCCTTGACTTCTACTCCCACCTATCTTGCTTCCCTATTGGCCAACAGTGCTTCATTTATACCAATCAGACAAACATATACACAGAAGGACTTCACCCATCAGAAAGTAAAGCTGGAATGCTGTCAGAATGTCTCACAGCAAACACCAGCCTCTGAGGAAGAGGGGCACTCTGCTGCCACCCCACTAGAAGGGAAGTGCCACTGTCGATCAATTTAGGACCTACTTAGGGACTGGGGCATTCTACTTGTCACTGGCATGCTGGGTGCCACATAGGACTCCTAGGCTCAGCGCAGGTGACAAAACTCTGCCGTGTTCTTCAAACAGGGAGTGGAATTCTCCCTTTCCCACCTCGCAGAGTCTTGGTTCCTTCTCTAATAACTTTTCTGTTCCTTCTGTGACTGCCTCATAGTTGACTAATAAACAACACAGGCTGCATTTTAGATTCCCCATTAGATCAAATAACAAAATTAAATTCAAAGTATTATCAAATCCCCTTTAGCTCCTGTTTTTAATTTTGTTTCATTGCTGAATCTTAATATTATGTGGCCCCAGGCACACTACTCCCAACTCTAGTATAGTTGATATTTAGCTAGTACTGTCTTTTCTTCTGCTATGTAAGGATTATTAAGGACTGAGTCTACTTCCAAGTCACAGGCCAGGTGCCTGCCTTCCTGGCCAGTTGCTGTCACTCAGCCAGGGTGAGCTACACCATGTCTGTAAGCCTTGACAGGGACTTCTGGGGATAGCACCTACCTAGTCATCCTTTTCCTCACCAGGATCTTCATTCCTAGACAGCCACAACTGGTACCCCCTCTCCATAGGCCCACTCCATGCTTACCACCCCCATGCTTCCTCTCCCTTGCTTCTTCCACTGACTGTGAAAGACAGCTTTGCTTTTCTCAAACACCTTTAAATCACTGAACTTTGCTTGGAACATCTGGAGTGGAGTGAAAGGTTTCTGTAGTGGGTCTCTGGTCCCGTCTGATGAGAGCCTGACCTCCTGGATGCACATGCTACTTCTGTTCTGAGTCAGCTTAGCAATGGGCAAACATGAACTGTCACATGGTAGAATAAAGTAGGGAGAGCTGGGCGGTGGTGGCGCACGCCTTTAATCCCAACACTCGGAAGGCAGAGGCAGGCAGATCTCTGTGAGTTCGAGGCCAGCCTGGACCGACAGCCTCCAAAACAATACAGAGAAACCCTGTCTAATAAAACCAAAAAGAAAAAAAAAGTAGGGAAAAGATTTGCAGGTAGTTGTATCACAGCCTTCAAAACTGCCCATCCAGGGACTGGAGAGATGGCTCAGTAATCATGAGTGTTTACTGACTCTGCAAAGGACCCAAGTCCAGTTCCTAGCACCCATATAAGGCAGCCTACAACAGCATATAACTCCAGCTTCTAGGGATCCGACACTCTTCTGGCCTCCATGGGCATCTGCACACATGTGCAGAAAATTCCATACAGAGGCAAACACACATGCACACAACCAGATAAATCTTGTTTTAAGTGCATATTCCTGCCTGACCCCTAAGACAAACTGTCCATTCTTATTCACCACTTTCTTCATCAAAAAAATAAAAAGTCTAGCCCACACAAGAGTGTTCTGTCATTTAGCCATTGTGACATGGCATTTTCATCTACACTGGTCATACCTGAAAACCACACAGTCAAGCTGCAAATGGTATCCCAGTGTTTAAGTAAGTTTACAGTTCTGTGTTGAGCCTGCAGCCATGGGTCACGGATCAGATGCCCCTGGAAGTGACACTCTTCTTCTCAAAAGTTACAGAGTCCCTCAATCAGCCACAGCAGACCTGAATCTCCAGGGAGGATAATCCCAGCACAACTGTCATGAAAGCCATCGGCTCCTAACTTGGAGTAAGCAAAAGAAACAGTCTGTGACATTAGGTCACAATGTGGGGCAGCTCACCTCTAGCTCCAGCTGGCCTCCGTGGGCACCTGCACACCCAATTAGATACACACAGAGAAAAACACACACATAAATAAGCAATAACAAGTAAAAAAAAAAAAACCTGTCCTTTCTTAGTTTTCTTTTTCTGTCCTTTTTTTTTTTTTTTTTTTTTTTTTGAGGCAAGGTCTTATGTAGCCCAAGTTGGCTTTAAACTTGTTGAGTAGTTGAGGATGACCTTGTATTTCTGACTTCCCTGCCTCTCCCTCTCAAATGCTGAAATTGTAGACCGGCAGGTCTGGTTTATACAGTGCTAGGGATGGAACCCAGAACGCCTTGTATGTTAGGCAAACACTTCACCAATGAACCACACCCACAGCCCTCCTATACTTTCTTTCACTTACTAGCTGAGTAGATGACAAATCATGGTCTGAATGAACCCTGTGTAATGCTGCCTCTCTCTCTCTCTCTTTCCTTGTCTTAGGGAATGCTGTCGGTTTTTTGGAGACAATGGCTTGACTTTGAAAGTTTTCTTTACCAAGGCAGCACCATTCGGTGTTCTTTGGACTCTCACAAACTACCTATACTTACACGCAATAAAGAAAATAAATGCTACAGATGTCTCCGTGCTGTTCTGCTGCAACAAAGCTTTTGTTTTCTTGCTGTCGTGGATCGTTCTCAGGGACAGATTCATGGGAGTGAGGGTAAGTTCCTAATTATCTGTCTTCCTCCCTCTCTAAGTTATGCCCACCAAAACCTGCCCATTGGCTAGCTCAGCTGCCTGTGCTAGACTGCAGGCATCAACTATGACCCTTCTGATTCTCAGCCACGCTCAGTTCTTGTTATGATTTGCAGATCTTCTTGCTTACCAACTATGCTAGGTAAGTGTTTGTGTAAGCACCTTTCATCCCAAGCATTTCCATAGCATTCCCTAAAGCTTGTGCCAAGCAGGGAATCAGCCAGGGTGTGGTGATGTCTTTGTGCCGCTCTCTTCCTGTCCCGTGACAACCTTTTGATCTTCAGCACATGGCATGGGTGTGCCCTGCAGCTAGGAGCTATCTGACATCCTTCTGACTCTCAGGTTAGGATGCATCTGAAACCCTGAGGCTTCTTGGTGTACATGTATGGTATGGGCTTGGAGCCTTGCCTGGGCCATGTAGCCAGAAATATTGTTGCTGAGTTCGAACTAAAAGGTGGTGCAGAGGGTGGGGGTGAGGGTTGGCACATTCTACTTCAACTATAGATCAAGGACAAACACAATGACATCACTTGAATGACCTGGCATTTTCCAGGAGAGTCGTAATAAATTTAAAGCTAGTCGAATTTCATGACAGTTGCATGAAACATGGTAAGTGCACTTTCAAATACCAGTGGGAACATGGAGTGACCTAACCCAAGGAGAGCAAACAGGTGCCGTTTATCAAGGACAGAATCTCAGTGACTTTCTGCCTACTCCCTCTGGTGACCAGGGCCTGCCTCTGCTGTTCATCTCCTTGCCACAGAGTAGGACAGAACACTGATCACTCATGGTGCAGCTAATCATTTCCTCCTTCCTCCTGAATGCTCAGGGCCCAGTGCTCAGTAGCCCTTCAAGCTAACCGTGTTGGCAACCATCAAGAGGCATACTCCAGATCCTCTGCTTCTGCCCTTGCTTCATTGTCCTGGGAACAATGACATCACCTTAAGGGTGGGCTTACGCCCACCTGAGTTATACAAACAGCAGTGGGGACATGAGTCAACTGCTGGTTCATATTTTTAGCTTACAGTGGGGGGTGGGGGGAGAGTTTGTTTTGAGACGCAGGGTTAATTTTGGAATAAAAACTCACGCCCCGGGCTGCCACCCAGAAAAGCCTTCAGCAAATAAATGATCTAATGCATACGTCTCTGGGGAGACTGCAGGTGCTTCACATGAACTCAAAGCTAAAGACTTGGATGTCCTAGGGATGTTAACCTATGGCCATGCCTTTCCAGGCTTCATTTAGGGGTCAAAGAATCAAGAGCCTGCATAGAGCGTTGGGGCATGGTGCAGATGTCCCAAGCAAATTTTTGTTACTGGAAAGGGACACTTCAAGGTCAATGGTATGTGCTGCAGAGAAAACAGAAGGGTCTGAGGTTGAGAGGTGTGGGTGTGAATGCACTTGACCTACTCAGCCGACTCACGGAACATGGGGTAGTTCAGATCTGTGCTTGTTTATCTTGGGTGCAGAGGAAACTTTTCAACACCCTCCACTGGGATGCAGTCTGCACTGATTGGAGTGCTCTCTGCTGACCACTGCACACTACAGGTTTGTGCTAAGGCTTTCAGTACTCAGTGGGTACTGTAGGAGAGGCCACTGGGCCAGTATGGGTGACAGGATGCTGTAACACGCAGACACTGTGCAGGCATGGTCTCCTTTCAAGAGTGCATGGTCAGTGAATGAAGAACTTCCCACTGCGGGCTGCAGGGTCAATACAAAGCTCAGATGGCTTATGGAATCTGTGAGACCAAACAATAGACAGCTGGAGGAGGGCCCAAGATCATGTCTAGCTGTAAATCACTCGGTATTCGGGTAGACGTCTGGGGCAAGCAGCTACTTCCACTAGGAATTTCCAAAGGCATAAGAGCTGATGTAGTTTCCATCCTGGGGTCTGAGTGAACAATGTCAGCTTCACAGACTTGAAGGAAATGACCAGGGCTCCTCCTGGTGTGCAAGAGCAGTGATGTGGGTAGCAGCAAAGGACGAGTGATTAGAACAATTGCTTCAATCTCCCAGCTACAACTTGTTGAAGATGGGAAGGGGTACCTGCAGTTCTAAGTTAGGTAGACAGATCCAACACTAAGGTAATGTGTCTTATAATACACTTGAGACCCTGGTCAGGCCTGGTGTCAGAGGGCAGGGTACTCTGATTGAGTGGGACTCAAACTCTCCCCATCTCTACTTACAAGTACTTCCCATGTGTGCCCTGGGCCAGAGGTTCTTGCACGGTGGCCAAATGCTCAGTCTGGGAACAGGTGATGAGGCTGTGGGTCCTTGAGCAGAACACCAAAGTCTGAACCTTAGCTTACCACTGACTGCCCTGTATTAAGACGTTATACCCAGAGCTTGTGAAGCCGCAGGACAATCTTGACAAGGTTTGAGGAGAGTTCACTGTGGCACAGAAAACAGCCTTGGAATACTTTCACAGTGAAGCAAACAAACACAAATAAACTCCTGTGTCTATGTTTGGAACATAAAGCAGGTGGATCTTCGCCATACCCTGAACTCTTGAACTCCTAGGCTGGGGAACGGCTTGGGTTCGGACCTTCTGCCTGAAGGATCCTGAAAGTGTGGTGGGAAACTGTCCACACACTTCTGACACTAGCTGGGGCCTCATGTTCCAAAGGAGCTGCTGAAACTCAGAGAGCAGGAAGCCCACTGTCAGATCTACAGACCTCCCTCGTGATCACTGATAGGACCCCAGGAAGTCAGTCTCTGGTGTCACCTGTGTGAGTGACCCCACAGGATCTGAGTTGTCTCCACAGTCGAAGGGAGCCAGGGGGCCGTCACCTGTTCTGTCTGATCCCTCTAGCCTCATGCTGACTCTTTTGCACAGCCCAGTTGAGGTGGAAGCTCTTCACTGTTGACTTTTAACCGAGAGTGAGTGGGAGAGGCTAGAATCTGTCTTGCAAGTCTTCAGGAAAAATAACCTGTTCCCCTTTGATACTTCAGGTGTCAGCCCTATATGCTCTTGGGATCATCAGAAATCTGACTCCTCTCTCTGTCTACCTGTCTGTCCATCATCTATCTATCTATCTATCTATCTATCTATCTATCTATCTCTCATGTATCTATCATCTATTTGTCTATTTCCCCCTCCCTTCTGCCCTCCCTTCTTCCCCTCCTCCCTCTTTTCTTCCCTCTCTCTGACGTTTCACACACACCAGGCTATCTTCAAATTCACAAGGTAGTGGAGGATGACCCCGAACTTCTGATCCCCCTGCCTCCAGCTTCTCAGTTCTGGGACTACAGGTGCACACCACTGCTCCCGGGTCATGCAGGGCTGGGGACTGAACCTGTGGTTTTGTACATGCCAGGCTAGCTCCCTACCAACTGAGCTGCATCATTCTGTTTTCGATTCTTCCTCTAGACAGATGCCTCTGAGACCTAGAAGGTTCCAAGCACTGTGGGCTTGAGGCAGGAGCACTTAGTCCCCCTTCTGAGTTTCACCTGTTCTTGCTCTCAGAGTGGGGGAATGCTCTTTTTCTTCCATATCTGCTTCTTTCTCATGATAAGCAGTTTCTCTCAGTGCATGCAGCATTTGTGTATGAAATGTGTGTTAGATGAAAAGGGAAACAGCTGAGTCTGAAGGAACTAAAACCCTGCAAGGGAGAGTAGGTAGACCGGGCCAGGCTTCCCCACACTTGGTAATCATCAGCTCCCCTGGCCTCTTTCATAGGTAAATATAGCACAGTATGGAACTCTTACAGAAAGAAGGCCCTAGAAGACATATGTGGTTCAGCTGGAGAGTCAGCCACAGTACCTCTTAATAACATAAAGACTATGTGGGTCCCAGATACGCCTTTATTTCCATCTAAGAGCATGGCTGGCAGTGGCTTGCTGTGTGTCTTAGCTGCTTCTCTTGTTACTAGGACAAAATACCCAATAAAGGTATCCTAAGGAAGGAAGGGTTTACATTGGCTCATGGTTTTCAGAATGCAAGTTCAACACGATGAGGAGGGCCTGGGACAGAACGGTGAGGCAGCTGGTCACACTCCATCCACAGTCAGGAGGCAGAGATGTGAACGCTGGTGCTCAGCTCACTTTCTCCTTTTATTCGGCTCAGGACCCCAGCCCATGGGAATGGATCACTCACATTCAGGGTGGGTCATCCTACCTTCCCTAACCCAATCTAGAAACTCCCTCACAGACAAGCCCAGCATTTCCATGATGAGTCCAAACCCATTAAGTTGACAATCTTGATTAACCACACCCTGGAATCACAGTTACCCATTTAAATGTATTAAACCAGCTTTGTTATCAAATAGACCTGAAGAAGCCTCTATTTTGGCTCTTCTACCTCCAGCTGTGTGCCTTAGGGCAGATTCCTTGTCCTCTCTGAGTCTAAATCCTTATGCCTGTAAAAGGGGTGAATGATAGACACCAACTCCCATTGTGAGGTTAAACAAGACAGCACACAGGAAATGCTTAGCTTGAACCCCCTGAAGCCTAGCTGTGAGATACTGCCCCTAAGGTCAATTTTGAAAGGTCTTCATCTCCTGGTTTCTTGGGGCTGTGGGAGCTCTGTGGCTGCTTCTGCTTGGACTTTGCACTTGATCTGGATGCAAGGGCACTGTCCCCTCAGTGATTCAAACCCACAACCTCCAAGCACTAAGAACAGCACAGAGGGGAGACACAGGGAAGACGAGGCTAAGGAGAAGGGAGAGGGGCCACAGCTCCCGGGCAGGATGTGGTCTGCTGCCCTTGTAGTCAGTGATGCTGTCAAATGAGGACTATCTCTCAGGTCAGCTCTGGCAGCAACCTGAGACAAAGCCACACTGTCACCCTGTACCAGATGCCTCAGATTTTGGTTATGCTAAGCTTGGATAGGTATCCTTAAACAATACCCATAAGCCACCTCTGCCCATTCTCCCCGGGAGTCTTAGAATAAAGCACCACTTTCCTTCACCTGGAAGAACCCCATGAGTAGAACGTTCTAGCTCTCAGGCACTAACAACTCCCTCCATGGCCTGACAATGTTTCTCTCCCTCCCTGCAGATTGTGGCCGCCATCCTTGCCATCGCAGGCATTGTCATGATGACTTACGCAGATGGTTTCCACAGTCACTCAGTCATCGGCATAGCCCTGGTGGTGGGCTCTGCTTCCATGTCAGCCCTCTACAAGGTAGGCACAAGGAACCCATCTTCTTGGCAGGTATCGGGGGACATCAGAGCTCTGGAGCTCACAGCCTGTCACTTTGGATATTCTGGATGGAGTCTGGGATTCTGAGAAGAATGCATCAAGTATGCATCAAGAGGCAGACGGCCCCAGGGCAGGGCCAGGTAGGCAGCTGAGAAAGATTGGACCCCTGAGCCTGCCTGAGTTTGTGCCTGATGGGGCATGAAGACTAGATTATGTGTGTGCTTTGCCATGTAAATCCTTGGCCATGTGATTTTCAGGGCACCAGCCAATTTGAGTCCATGAGTTGTTCAAACAACGCTTGTGAAATGAGTACACAAAAGATTCTTTTGGCAAGAGCCGGGTGAGTGTCTGTCATGCTAGTGCTCACTGAGGAAAGAGCATTGCCAAAAGCTTATGGAGAGCCTGGGCTACACTACCAGATCTTTGCCTAAAGAAAAGAAAAGGAAAGTTTTGACAAAATGTGGCAGGCCATTGGAAAGTACTTCCTAACTGCCAGTCTAGAAACAACAAACAACTGTCTGAGGCAAGGTGTGCGGCCTTTCTCCCAGTTTTGTCAGACTCCATGCTATCTCTTGCCCCAGCTCCTCTCTGTCCCCCTCCTCTCCTTTCCTTTCACCTAGGTCCTCTCTCTCCTCCTCAGATGGATAATAAGACACGAAGACACTTTCAGGGCTGTAAAACATCAGATGTCTCCATGTCCTGCTTCCCCTGCATACCGGTGACCACTTCCTCCCCTTCCTGAAGCTTCTACCTCCTTCCCAAACAGCACCACCAGCTGGGGACCACGTGTTCAAACACATGAGCCTACTGGGGGCATGTCACACCCGAGCCACAACACCTGTACCTGTCCGGAGGGACTCACTGGAGGCCAAAAGCTCTTCACTCCCTTTCCCTGTTGCCGGCACATGTGGGGAGCACAACGGGCGAAGGGGCCACAGGGACAGAGGAAAGACAGCCAGTGCTTCCCTGACTGGACACCTTTACCTGTGAGCAGCATGTCAAACAGCCACTGCCCCCAGAGAGAGGGCTTTAAAGATGTTCTCTCTGAACCAAAGCTGAGGGGCTTCATCAGTCCCCGCTAAGTCTTACCTCCCTTTGTAGAAATGACACAGCACCAGGCTGGGTGGGGTCCACAGGCATGTCTGAGTCGAACCTCTGGCCACCCAGGCACATCTGTCCCTCTTCTATCAGCCCCTTGAATTCCAAAAATGGTGCGCAAGCAAGAACATTGCGGGGGATACAAAGTCCTGAGCAGTTCACTAAGGCCTGTGCCATTTCTACAAAGGGAGGTAAGATTTAGCGGGGACTGGTGAAGCCCTTCAACTTTGGTTCAGAGAGAACATCTTTGCAGGTAAAGTCCTCTCTCTGGGAGCAGTGTCTGTTTGACATGCTGCTCACAGGTAAAGCACTTGCCTTGCAAGCACGGGGGCCAGAGTTCAGAATCCCAGTGCTGTGGAAATACCAGTTGGGCTTGGCAGCCCATCTGCAATCTCAGCACATGGAAGGCAGAGATGGGAGCACGTCCAAGGAAGCTGGCTACACTAACCAAATACCCAAGCTCTGGGTCCAAGTAGAAACCCTGTTCCAAAATGTAAGGGGGAATCAATCCAGGAAGGCACCTGAGGTCAATCTCTGGCCACCATATCCCCAGACACACACACACACACACACACACACACACACACACACACACACACACACATTTGGAGGCTCCACAAAAGGATATGCAATCACACCAGATAGTTCTAAGGGAGGCAGCATTGTGAGCACAACACGTAACAGCCTCATCCAGTATGCAGACCTATGACTCCTAGTGATAAGCAATGTGAGTCTAGACATAGTTCAGCCTGAGCTGCTGTTACACGACATGTGGGCTGCAGCCTTCCATCAAGCTTCATCAGCCTTCGCTGGCAGGCACAGAAGATCAAACCCAGTGGGACTATAGTACCTACTGTGCGGCCAGCCCCAGCTTTGTCAAGTATGCACAACTCTACTCCCACATACATGGGCCCAAGGGGTATCCTCACCTCTTCCTCTCCCCTCTCCCCGGCAGGTCCTGTTCAAGCTGCTGCTAGGCAGTGCCAAGTTCGGAGAAGCGGCCTTATTTCTGTCCATCCTGGGTGTGTTCAACATCCTCTTCATCACCTGCATCCCCGTCATCCTCTACTTCACCCGAGTGGAGTACTGGAACTCCTTCGACGACATTCCATGGGGAAACCTCTGTGGGTTCTCCATTCTCTTATTGAGTAAGTGGCACCCGCCCTGTGCAGAAGCCTCAGCAAGTAGCAACAGACACAGAACTCTTTGGAAACCCAAGTTAAGAAGGAAAAACTCATGGCCTCTTGCTTACGTTAAATTCTCACTCTTTTTCACAGTCCTCGGGTATTTTTAAAGAACAATATTTAAGGGTTCTAAAAAATTTTGGGGGGTGGCCTTAGAAGGCAGGACCTTTAAGAATTTATTTTCACTGTGCATGTGTGGCTGCATGAGTTTACTTATGTTCATGAGTTTTGTTTGCCTACATGCAGCACACCATGTGTATGTTTGATGCTTGTGGAGGTCAGGAGAAGATATCCCCTGAGGTTGGAGTTACACATGGCTGTGAGACTGGAGTTAGACTGGGAGCTACAGTGTGGGTGCTGGAAACCAAACCCCAATTCTGGACCTTCAAGAAGAAGCTTAAGTTCCTTGTAATGCCTCTCTGCCTGAGACACTGGGTGGGGGTGGTCAAATATGTCAACACAGACAGGGAAGGGCAGTTTTATGAGTAACTCCAGTCTTCTAAATTCTCTATTTCAGCATTCAATATTGTATTAAATTTTGGAATCGCTGTCACGTATCCCACACTGATGTCTCTCGGAATTGTCCTCAGTGTGCCTGTGAATGCCGGTAAGCGTTGTTTCATGGATTTCTGTCTCTGTTCATTTTAAACACACCTTCTTTCAGGCTTACACACACTCGAGAGCACACTTTCACATAGCTGCTCATATCTATTCCTATTTGGCTGCTCACAAGGCATATTTGACCTCTGCAAAGAAAGAAAATGCACTTAGTACGATGCTGTTTGTGGCATATGCAGTATTTCTCCATGACAGATTTGTCTTTTTTGTTATTCTTTTGTTTACCTATTTTACAGTACTTGGGATGAAACCAAGGGCCTCATGCACCCTAAGCAAGCTCCCTCCTACTGAGCTATGCTTCCTTAGTCCTTTTTAAGCATTTTATTTTGAGATATGTTCTTCTCACTATGCTGCCCAGGTTAACTTTGAAGTCTCATCATAGCCCAGACAGCCTTTGGTTTGAAGTCCTTTGCTCAACCTCTGGGATTACAAGCATACGCTGTCAGGCCCAACTTAACAGAGAGATTTCTATGTCCAATTGAGCATAGACCATCCAAGGCAGTCTCTAATTTAATAAAGAATAGAGCTAGAAAAGTATGGAGCAGAAAACGACTGAATTTTTCCAAGTGACTTTGTTGAGGCCAAGTTGTCACATTGGGTCATCATGTGGAAACGGCTTGGCACTCCAGTGAGCAGGAATGTTATTCCCTTCTGCCTCCTGGGAGAGGGTGAAAGCCCTTTGTTTGGGTGTGGGAACCCGCTTTGTCCTGTCCTGGAGCCTTGTAGCTGAGATGAGTTGGCAGTTCTTCCCAAAGCTTGCCTTCCTCTGTCCCTCACCTACTCTCCCGTCTTGCCCTCTGTTAGTTTGAGCTTTGGACTTCCTCTCCAGAATCCTCTGTCTCATTCCCTGGCTCCTGCAAAGTTGCCTCTGGGTCCCTGATTCCAGGCCATTAAAGGACTGGTCTCCCAGGAACCCAGGTCCATAGCCTATTCCCAAGCAAAGTCACTCTTGACTCCAGAGACTCTCCTGAAGTCCAGCTCCCTGACTCCCCACCCCCACCCTGTCCCACAGTTCTGTATATGCCTCAGTACCCCCAAGCCCATCCTGGATGTCTATGGTCCCCATTCATCAGCCCTGTGGTTTGTGTCTCCTCACAATTGAAGGCTGTGCATGCTCTTATTGCTTCCTGTTGACAAATAAAGGAAACAATCGAGCCCTTCAGAGCTGGGAGTAGATAGCATGGCAGTACACCCTTGCAATTACAGCCCCCAGGAAGCATAGACAGGAGGCTCCTGGGCTCATGGATCAGCCAGGCTGGCCTACTTAATGGGTTCTAAGCAAGACAGAGACCATGTTATTCTAAAGGTAAGTGGTGCCCAAGGAACAACCGCTAAAGTGGACCTCATCTCTACCCACAGCACAATGCTCATACACTCATGTGTACACACATGTATGTACACACACATGCAGAGAGGGAGGGAATAAGGGAAGGAGAGAGAGAGAGAGAGAGAGAGAGAGAGAGAGAGAGAGAGAGAGAGGGAGGGAGGGAGGGAGGGAGGGAAGGAGGAAGGGAGGGAGGGAGGAAGGGAGAGAGAGAGAGACAAAGAGAGACAGAGAGAGAGAGGAGCTCCTGGACCTGGAAGGCACTTCTTACACAGCTTCCCCTGCAACCCTTATGTTTTAATTTGGTGTTACATGAGGATATGCTAAAAGACATATACCACAGTAGTTTGACACCAAGAGTTACTTTTGTCCACATCCTGCAGTCAAAGCAGAGAGTTAATCCATGTCAACTGCTGGATCCAGTTCCTGTAAAGAGGAGAGAGGAAAGGGCCAGCATTCTGGAAACTGGCAGAGCAGAGCAGTTATCAGTCTTCAGGCTCACCCTGGCATCAGCTAATGAATTAACAGCTAATGAATTAATGTCAACATTAAAACCTGAAGTGTTTCTGAAAGTCTATAGGACAACCCTGGGAAGAACTGGTTTTAGGGTGAACTATTACCCTCCCATCCCTCCTCTGCCTTCCTGTTAGACAACACGAGGAGTAAAGGAGGGAGAGAAGTAGAAGGAGGCAGGAAGTTAGGGAATTGACAGAGTCACTCTGAGAGGAAAAGCAGCCCCCACCAGGATGAATGGTGGACAGTTGCCCAGTCAGCATTAAGAGCTGTGGACTTCAATGTTTGCACCCTCAAGTAGATGAGACCTTTTGTTGTTTTACTTTGTTTTGTTTTGTTTTGTTTTTAGGCCAGACTATCTCTCTGAGGCAGGCAGGTTTCAAATGGGTTCAATTTGACTTAGCCAAGGGAGAGAAGAGATTCGTCCCCAAACAGGAAAGAAGGGAACACCATCAGGGCTGTTAACAGAGTGACTGGATTTTTACAAACTGATCTAAACCTACTTCCCATTCAGTCCTGTCACCCAATTGCTCATCAGGACAAGCCAGGGATCTTTAGGGAAGCCCTCAGAGCAAGGTACTTCACCTGAGACTTAGAGCCTCATAGTAACCAATGGGCAAGGAATAGCAAGAATTCTTCCTAACAGCTGGGCATACTGGCACACATCTATAAGCCTAGCACTCAGGAGGTGAAGGCTTGAGGATCAGGAGTCAAAGTCATCCTCAGCTACCTAGTGAGTTCAAGGATAGCCTGGGCTACATGAGACTCTATTTCAAGAAACAGAAACAAGAGGCAGGATTTGAGATGACTGGGTAAAGGTGCTTGCCACTATGCTTGTTGACCTAGGTTAGATTCCTGGGACCTGCAAGGTGGAAGGAGAAAAATGACTCCCAAAAGTTGTCCTTTGACCACACTGTGCCCTCTGCCCTGGCACTCACATGATCATCTGCATAAATGCAAAAATAAATTAATAACTAAATAACTAAAGCTTTAAAAAATTCACAAAAGTATCCTAAAAGGGCAGGGTCATGTTTGTTTATCCAAACATATACACATATAGTAAGATTAAATTTTAAAATGTCTCATTATAGGAGAAGGGCATTTAAGGTAGCCTCTCCACTATTGCTTAGATTGCCAGTTGGTGTCATCTTTGTAGATCTTTGGAAATTTCCCTAGTGTCAGATCTCTCTTCAAACCTATAATGACTCCCTCTATTATGGTATCTCTCATCCTGCTTTCCTCTATTCTTGCCCTGACTCAAGCTTCCTGCTCCCCCATGTCCTCCTCTCCTTCTCCTGGCTCCCTCTCCCTTCCCCCATGCTCCCAATCTGCTCAGGAGATCCTGTCCCCTTCCGCTTTTCTGGGGTACCATGTATGTCTCTCTTAGGGTCCTCACTGTTTCCCAGCCTCTCTGGCAGTGTGGACTATAGGCTGGCACTCCTCTGCTCCCTGTCTAAAATCCATATATGAGTGAGTACATACCATGTTTGTCTTTTTGTGACCGGGTTACCTCATTCAGGATGGTTTCTTCTAGTGTCATCCATTTGTCTGTGAATTTCAAGGTTCCATTGTTTTTTTTTCTACTGAGTAGTACTCCATTGTGTAAATGTACCACATTTTCTCTATCCACTCCTCAGTTGAGGGGCATCTAGGTTGTTTCAAGGTTCTAGCTATTATAAATAATGCTGCAATGGCTGGGTGCTGGTGGTGCATGTGCCTTTAATCCCAGCACTCGGGAGGCAGAGGCAAGCAGATCTCTGTGAGTTTGAGACCAGCCTGGTCTACCCAGCAAATTCCAGGACAGGCTCCAACACAAACAGCGAAACCCTGTATCAAAAAACCAAAATAATAATAATAATAATGATAATGATAATGCTATGAACATAGTGGAACAGATGTCCTTTGTTGTATGAATGTGCATCTTTTGGGTATATGCCTAAGAGTGGAATTGCTTGATCTTGTGGTAAACTGATTCCTATTTTCCTGAGGAATCTCCATACTGATTTCCAAAGTGACTGTACAAGTTGGCACTCTCACCAGCAGTGGAGTGTTCCCCTCATATGCCAGTCTAGAGTCTTCATCCAGTGGCTGATAGAAGCAGAGACAGACACCCACAGCTAAACACTGAACTGAACTCCTGAACCCAGTTGTAGAGAGGGAGGAGTGGTGGGCAAGGGGGTCAAGACCAGGCTGGTGAAGCCAACAGAAACAGCTGACCTGAACAAGGGGAAGCTCATGGATCCCAGACTGATGGCTGAAAGGCCAGCATGGGACTGATCCAGACCTCTGGAATGTGGATGTCAGTGAGGAGGCCTCGGCAATCTAAGGGGCCTCTGGTGGTGGATCAGTATTTATCCCTGGCATATGAATGGACTTTGGGAGCCCATTCCACATGGAGGGATGTGTTCTCAGCCTGGACACATGGGGGAGGATCTGGGTGCTTCCCTGGGTGATATGACAGATTTTGGGGATTCCCCCATGATGTGCCTCACCCTCCCTGGGGAGCAGAGGGAAGATGGGAGGGGGATTGGTGGAGGGCAGGGGAGGAGAGGAAGGAGGGGGAGCTGGTATTGACATATGAAGCAGGCTTGTTTCTAATTTAAATTAAAAATGTAAAAAAAATTAAAATGTCATGTATAATATCATAATGTGGAAAAGTACCAAAAATATAAATTAAAAATTAGTATTATCTTCATCCTGAAATCCCAAATTGGCCAGAATTACACCTTGGCATATCTAATTACACCTACATTCCCAATTACCTTGACCTATTTTCCTCTCACACTCAAGTCACCATTTGAGCTCAAGTGCTGGGTTAGATTCAGATGGCAACACACAAGCTCAAGGCCTCAGCGGAGGCGGATCTTCAGAAGTGCATTGTGATATCCTAGAGGCAGCCCCAGCAGGCATTAGCAGAACCCTGCCCTGGAGGATGCTTAGATATATTACCATGTCCACAACCCTGCTGTTGAGTAAATGGTACTCTGTCTCCCATAGTGGTCGATCACTATACCAGTCAGATAGTCTTCAACGGAGTCAGAGTCATCGCCATCATCATTATCGGCCTGGGCTTCCTCCTCCTGCTCCTGCCAGAAGAGTGGGATGTCTGGTTGATCAAGTTGCTCACCCGCCTCAAAGTGAGGAAGAAGGAAGAGACCACAGAGAGCAGCGGGGACTTGGGCACAGGCCCCCAGAGCAGGAGCAGAAGAGCCCGCCCATCCTTCGCTCGCTGAGACCACTCCTCTAGGACTCTGGGATGCCCCCATGGTAATGTTTTTGAGGTCTATTGCTAAGGGAGGAACCTCAGTTGGGTGAGGTGTACATACATGTACAGTTTTGGTAATCTGCAGTAAGTTCTATGGTATTTATTGGCATGTCCAATTTGCTTGCACTTTTCCACATCAGACCTTCCACTTAAGGTACCAATTCAAAATGGAAGAGAAAAGAAACTCTCAGTGCTTCTTCAATGAATGTAAAGTGGGGTTAAATGAGCCTTGCATTGATTGCTCCAGAGGACAGGACACACTGGGGCAAATGCTCTGCCTCTTAGCAACTGAAAATGACATTGTACACTGTGATTATTTTTCAGCTATAGTAGGTCATATTTTGTTTTATACCAGAACTGTATACTTAATTTTAAGGAATTTCAATGAACCAAAAGATAATTGTCAGTGAATCTGGATGGATGGATGGATGGATGGATGGATTTATGGATGGATTTATGGATGGATGGATGGATGTGTGGACAGATGGGTAGCTGGGTGGTGGACAGACAGGTGGATGGGAAGGGAAGAGAAAGATGAAGCAGACAAGGATAATGGGCATGAAGATAATTGGAGGACAGGCCTTGGCCAGGTCACATAACAGAAAGTGGGAATCTGACCTAGCTGGCCTGCTTTCTTGTGTCTTCACAAGTCCATGAGGAGAACTTAGTGCCTTCTACAGCATCTCCGTCCTTACCTATGTGAAGCGAGGTGACATCATATGTCACTGGCGCCGTCTTATAATGTAGATGTAGAAATCTTTAAAAAACAAACTATATGTGTATATGTGTGTACAAAAAGTGACAACGCCGGTGGCCAGTGCGTTTGGATGGTGTTTGGCGATGTGTAGCGTGCACAGCAGGTGCACTGTGTGGGAGGAATTGCTGGTGGCTTTCACTCCCAGACCAAGACTGAAACACTATTTACGGAGTCTGTAAACCTTTTTAAGAAACTTTTAAGCACCGGGCTGTTTACTTACACAATCTAGGTCTGCCAGAAACTTCTATCTGTGATAGATCTGTACAGAGGGACTGGGGTTAGAGTTTACTATTTTTGAAGTTTACATTGTTACATATAAATGGGAACCTGATTTTGAAATGATGTCATATCCCAATGGTGCATTCTGGAACCATGGAGTCTTTTGTTTCCCGGGGGAAAGGGGCACTCATGACCTGAACTTTTTAGCCAATTATTCTTCTCAGTTTCCATTACTTGTTTGGCCAAACAGATTAATAAAATATTTGAAACAAAGAAAGCACTGAGTATGCTCTTGCTGCCACCTTGTCGCCTCCCTCTAAGGGTCCTGATGCAGCCTGCAGTCTCCAAACCGATTCCTGGAAGGTCAGCCTGCCTGGCTGCCGCGAGGGAAGGTGATTGTTGCTGTGATGACAGACGATTGCATGACAATCGCAGGACTCATAGAAACTGTTAAGTCTCTGGGGCTGAAGAGGTGGTGCAGTGGGAAAGTACTTACTGCACAAGTGTGAGAGCAGGGGTTCATATTCCCAACACCCATGTAAACAGCTGAGCACAGCCATATGCCCACACACACTTACACACACACACACACACACACACACACACACACACACACCTTTATCCCCAGCACTGAAGGTGATGGAGGCAGAAAGACCAATGAAGCTGTGTCTAGGCAGCTGTGGTCAGGAGCTGTGAGACCCAAGTGTCTTGTGCAGAGTCTCAGAGGGCAGGCACAAAGGTGGCATAAAAGTCATATCACCCACACCTAGAATGCCTCCACTTTGGAGAAATTCAAAAGGCAACAAAAGTGGCAAGGTCCTGGCCTGTAACCTCCACCACCAACTGCTTCATTTAACTCAGTCCAGTGAATATTTTCTTTTAAAGACACATTATCAAGTTGGAAATGCCAGCCTTATAGTAAATTTAGCTTCACCCATCAGCTCATTAAGATTTAAAAATGGGACTGCCGAGATAGTTCAGCCATTAAGAGCACTGGCTGCTCTTCCAATGGACCCAAATTTGATTCCCAGCATTCAAAGGGAACCTCACGACTTTACAGGGGATCTGATACCTTATGGCTTCCACAGGTACCAGGCACACACAGTGCGCATGTGTGCATATAGGCAAGGCAGACAAAAACAAAACATTTTTTAATTTAAAGATTAAAAAATAGTTTGGGGGCTCTTTCCTCATGACCCTCTCAGCCTTCCCTTCTAGACCCCCTTCATTCCTCCGTGTCCTCCACTGATCCCAGAAATGCTTTCTACCAGGGACCCCAGTAGCCACCACAGGCCAACACATCAGTGGCTCGCTCAGCCATCATCGGAGACACTGCTCTTGCAGTAGATGGGAACTAACACAGAGACCCACAATTGGACAGTATTCAGGGAGTGAGAGACTTTGGAGCACTCAGTCCTAAATGGGATGTCTTCACCAAACCCCTCCCCTCATGACTCAAGGATCTCTGAGGAAGAGGAGATTGTAAGGGTCAGAGGTATGGATGTCTCTAAGGAAACAGTGTCTTCCAGACACAACAGGACTGATAGGTGTGACTCACAGAGACTGTAGCAGCATGCACAAGGCCTGCACAGGTGAAAGCCAGATGGTGTCCCAGCACTGAGATGGGGAAGTGGACATGAGCTAACAAGACGCTCTCTGCCACTGATACCCATTAGCCAAGAGGAAATCACTCTCCTCCGATGGAGTCTCACTAGGTATATTAACCACTCCGTACTCAGGAGTAATTGGCCAGCACAAAGCAAAGGCAATGGCAGTTTTGCAAACTGTTTGTCTCATTTTGCTTTGCTTGGACATTTTCTGTCTTAATGGTCAGTCTTGTGCTTGTATATGTCATTTTGTGTTTTTCATGAAGCTTTTTGTGTGTTCCTTTGGGTTTCTGTTTTTGTTTACTTTTTAGAGACAAGAGAGGGCATGAAGTTAGGTGGGCAGGGAGTTGAGGAGAATTTGGGAGCAGCTGGAGAAAGGGAAAAGCATGACCAAAATATATTGTATGAAAAAATGTTTCAATAGAAAAAGAATTGGAAGCAAAGGCTCCATAAGAAATCTGCATACCTACATTTGAAGCGCCATTATTCATGATAGCCAAAATCTGGAGGTGCATAGGTGGGTGGCTGGCTGGACAGATGTATGAATGTGTAGATTTACAAATGTATGCATAAACAAAATGAGGTATACTCATACAATGGAGATCTATCCAGCCTTAGAAATCAATAAGGAAGCTTTGACACCTGCTGCAACATATGTGAACTTGTGTAGGATGAAGCAAGCCTGACATAAAAGGACAGATGTCATGTGACTGCACTTCTGAGATCCCTGGGATGGCCAAATTCAACCAGAAAAGAGTCAGGTGTGTGGCGCACATGTCATCACACAGGAGGCAGAGGCAGGAGGATTGCTGCAAATTTGAGACCAGCCTGGTCTATGTAGTGAGCTCCCAGTCAGCCAGAGTACCTCAGAGTCCCTGTCTCAAAAAATATAACAACAATAACAATACTAGCAAAAAACATAACAATCCCCCCAAAACAACAAAGTGATAGAAAGTAGAAAGAAGGGTGTCTGCTAAGGACTGGGGAGGAGGGGTCAGCTGGCACAGGGTTTCAGTTTGAAGAGTGGAAGTTTCTGGAGATGGATGGTGGTGACAACTGCATGACTTAATGCTCATGACTTCATGCAGAAGAACGGTTACATAGATATATACTCAGAAATTTAAAAACAATTACAAAATACAGGGTGTGCAAAATAAAAAGGTCAAAACCCTGCTCCTCTAGGGATACCATGAACCTGAGTCAAAGAGAGGGTAGAGCGGGAGATTTGTTTCTGGAAAGGAGATAACCACACATTTTAAGCACTGGAGATACTGGGAAAAGCCTATAATGAAAATATATTATACCTGGGAACTGCTAAAGGAAACTGATGGCCCAGAGGCCACCCTGCTAGGAGAGGGCCTGCCCCCTTAGGCTAGTATAGTAGCAATTATAGACCAGCTCTGTATCGGCTTCTGTGAGTCTACACCAGCAGACCCGGACATACCAGCGCAGTTGGAGCAGAAGAGAAGGACCTTAAAAACAACTTTATGAAGATGTTAGAGACCCTCAAAGAGGAAATGAGAAAATCCCTTAAAGAAATGGAAGAAAAAAACAACAAAAAATACAGGAAATGGAGGAAAGACTAATCAAAAATTTCAAGAAATAAACAAATCTCTTAAAGGAAACGAGGAAAGTCAAGAAAAAACAAACAAGTGAAGGAAACAATTCAAACAGTTCAAGGCTCTAATGCTGAAATAGAAACAATAGAAAAAACACAGAATGAGGAAATGCTGGAAATAGAAAAGCTGGGTAAATGATCAGAAACTACAGATATAAGTATAACCAACAGAATACAAGAGATGGAAGAGAGAAACTCAGATGTTGAAGACTTATTAGAAGAAATAGAGTCATCCACCAAAGAAAAATTTAAGTCCAACAAATCCCCAACACAAAATATCTAGGAAATAAGGGACACCGTGAAAAGGCCAAACCTAAAAATAATAGGTATAGAGGAAGGCGAAGAAATACAGCTCAAGGGTACAGTAAACATATTCAACAAAAATATAGAAAAAAAAACTTTCCCAACCTAAAGAAGGACATCCCTAAGAAGCTTACAGAACACCAAATAGACTTGACTACAAAAAAGTTCCCTCACCACATAATAATCAAAACACCAAATTTACAGACTAAAGAAAAAATATTAAGAGCAGCAAAGGAAAAAGACCAAGTAACATATAAAGGCAGACCTATCAGAATTACACCTGACTTCTCAATGGAAACTCTGAAAGGCAGAAGGCCCTGAATAGATATTCTACTAACACTAAGAGACCATGGATGCCAGCCCAGACTGCTATACCCAGCAAAGCTTTCAATCAATATAGAGGGAGAAAACAAGATATTCCATGACAAAACAAGATTTAAACAATACATATCCACTAATCCAGTCCTACAGAAAGTTCTGGAAGGAAAAATCCAACCCAAGGAAGTTAGCTACATTCACAAAAACATAGGCAATAGATAATCCTACTTTACCAAACACCAAAAGAAAAAGGGGGAGATCCACACAGAATACCACCACCACCGCCAAATCCAAAACAAACAAGGATGAACAATCAATGGTCATTAATATTCCTCAATATCAATGGTCTTAACTTGCCTATAAAAAAACACAAGTTAACAGAATGGATATGAAGACAGAATCCATCCTTCTGCTATACACATGAAACACACCTCAACTTCAAACACATACATTACCTCAGAGTAAGTGGTTGGGAAAAGATATTCCAATCAAATGGACCCAAGAAATAAGCTGGTGTAGCAATCCTAATATCTAACAAATTAGACTTCAAACTAAAATCAATCAAAAGAGATTAAGAAGGTAATTTCATACTCATCACAGGAGAAGGTAATTATGATGAAGTCTCAATTCTGAGCATCTATGCCCCAAATACAAAAGCACCCACATTTGTAAAAGAAACATTACTAAAACTTAAATCACACATAAAAACCCACATACTTATAGTGTGAGACTTCAACACCCCATTCTCACCACAGACAAGACCACCAGACAGAAACTTAACACAGAAACAAAGGAACTAACAGAAGTCATGGCCCAATTGGATTTAACAGACATTTATAGAATATTCTATCCTAACACAAAATATACCTTCTTTCTCAGCGCCACCTGGAACCTTCTCTAAAATCAGCCACATATTTGGGAATAAAGCAAACCTCAACAGATACAAAAAAATTGGAATAACCCCCTGTATCTTATCAGATCACCATAGTTTAAAATTAGAATTCAACAACAACACAAATTACAGAAACCCCACAAACTCATGGAAATTGAAGTCAATGAAAATGAAGGCACAACATACCCAAATCTATGGGACACTATGAAAGTAGTTCTAAGAGGAAAGTTTATAACACTAAGTGCCCACATGAAGAAACTGGAGAACAGGCACACTAGAGAATTAACAGAACAACTGAAAGCTCTAGAACAAAAAAAAGCAAACTCACCCCAGAGGAGTAGACCCCTGGAAATAATGATATTGAGGGATGAAATCAATAAAGTCGAAACAAAGAAAACAATACAAAGAATCAATGTAACAGAGAGTTGGTTCCTTAATAAAATCAACAAGATAGACAAACCTTTATTCAAACTAACCAAAAGGCAGAGAGAAAAATGCAAATTAACAAAATCAGAAATGAAAAGGGGGACATAAC